TCACACACTCTCACTCACACACTCTCACTCACTCACTCACTCACACACTCACACACTCACTCACACACACTCACTCACACACACTCTCACACACACTCACTCACTCACACGTGCATGATGGGATATGGAGCTCATCCAGACATCTGGACGGAACCAATCGAATGCTTTTGGATGAGAGCGATGCTTCAGCTCTGACATCTGCGTGACAGATTCAGTCCCAGGATTCAGTCTTTATTCTCTAGGAGCAACTGGAGTTCAAGAACATAAAAAAACAACAACTGTTCAGTCCCTAATTATGAATATGTAACCGTTCAGACACTGCAGATGAGTGAATCTCATAAAAACTGTCAGTCAAGTTCATATTTTAAAAAGTTGACAACACATTTGCATGTTCATGGTTCTCTGATGTTGGTTAAAGGTCACATGAAATGCAGCATATTTTTTTAGTAAGTGTTGATTTGGATTGTTTTTATTTTAAAACTTTTTTTATTTTAAAATTGATTTATGTTATTTTTTTTAGTAAGTGCTTTATTTTGATAATTTATTTAAATTTTTCTTTTTATCATTTAATTTTGAATAAGCATTTTATTTGGGTCATTTTTATTTTAAAATCATTTATAATAATTTTACCTTTTTATAATTTAATTTATTTGTTTTATTTTGATTTAAAATCATTTATTTTAATTTTACATTTTTAGAATTAAATTTGAGTAAGTGCAATTGTTCTTTTCTAGATTTTCGATTTAAATTCATTTTTTGTTTTGTTTTTAATTATTAATTTGATGTAATTAAATTTTACCTTTATAAATAATTTAATTTATTATTAAAAATTAGCAAGTGGCTCTCACTCCAGATGAGTGAATCTCATTAAAACTGGCCATTGACATTATTTTATTTCAGTTAAGGACCTGAATTCTCATTTAGTGTAATGCATATGTAAAAAGATTGACATGATTAATAAATAGTAAACTATATAAAAATCATCCTACAAACCTGAGACGTCTTCATGAGATTCACCCAGATGCTGCTTCTTTACAGCAGCTGTAGTTTCACACAGTTCTGGAAGGATCTAATGGATCTAAAGCACCTGGTCTTTCTTTGGTCGCAGGAAAGACGTCGACTCGCGATCCAGAACGCAGCGCAGCAGTGGGAGGGGCTAAAGGCCTGCCTCGAGCTTCCTGCCCAGAACGGCTCCAAGGAAGACGTCAGTCCAGAATACAGCCCCGCCCACAGCCCCGCACAGACCAATGGGAACACACAGGAGACGTCGCCGGACGAGCCCAGGTGAAGGTCACTCGTGACCGTGAGTGTGCAAGCATGCGAGCATGTGTGTGAGTGTGCGAATAATGTGAGTTAGTGAGTACATTAGTGAGTACATTAATGACAGTAATGTGAGTGCATTAGTGTGTGCGACAGGGTGAGAGTGTGTGTCCGTGTGTGTGTGAGTGTTGAGAGTGCGTGATTGTGTGCGAGAGTGAGAGTGCGTGCATGTGTGTGTGAGTGTGCAAGCGTACGAGTGTGTGTGTGAGTGTGTGCGAAAGTGTGAGAGTGAGTGTGTGTGTGAGTGTCAGTGTCTGTGTGTGCGTGAGTGTGAGAGTGCCTGCGTGAGTGTGTGTGTGAGAGTGTGTGCGCATGTGAGAGTGCGTGCGTGAGTGCGTAAGTGTGCACGTGTGTGTGAGTGTGAGTGCTCGTGCGTGAGTGTGCACGTGTATGTGTGTGTATGTGTGTGTATGTGTGTGCGTGTGTGTGTGTGTGTGTGTGCAAGAGACCCTAAGTCCTCTACCCTGACTTTAAGGAAGTGTGTTTAGCTGTTAGTTGTTTCTTGTGCAATTCCCATGTCTTGCACAACCTATAAACAACCGACTATATGAAGCAAACTGCGTCACATTGGTTTCAACATCTCACAGAGTTTATTTTTGTGGTGTATAGCTGCTGTGATTCTCTGTCACAGACGCTTGAGTCCGCTCACAGTCTCAGCTGGAGGGAACGAGAGCAGGTTACGATCGGCCAATCGACCAAACAGCCCCAGAGACCTCCGGTACATCTGACCACTTCACTGTCTCACTCTGTTTCACTGTTTAATACACTGATATTCATCAGAGTCAGAACTGTCCAGTTGCTCTGAGTTCGTGCTCATGATGCTGTTCTGAGTGTTTATTGGTTTTGTTGGTTTGTTCTGATTAGCAACAGTGTTGCATTTGGGTTATTTATTCAGACAATCGACCAATAGGGATGTTGCCCCGTTGCCATGGTTGCAGGTGATCCATAATGCAGGAAGCGAGAGAGTTGAAGGAATAATGAAAATGATGTCATGATTTGTTGTTTCCAAACCCGTATGCTGTTGTTGTATCTGTTGAACACACAAAAAAAGATGATTTTAAGAATCACTAGACCAGCGACTCCCAAACCTTTTCATTAACTGAAATGAAAAAGTCCCCCTGAGATTTTTTTATTATTATTTCAATAATGTTCACGCTTCTCTGATTCAGTTCTTGGTTAATTACATGACGTATGACAACAAATAAAACATTTTATTTTTATTTTGTTTAATGTTCATTCATTTTATTGCTTTTTATTAGTAAGTTTTATTTAGATTTTTTGTTATTCATTTTAAATGTACATTTTTATGATTTAATTCATTACTACTCATTCTTTTATTTTGAATGTTTTTGTTTGTTTTATATTTTAAAATTATTAGTTTGTTTTGATTTTACATTTGAATGATTTACTTAATTATTACTAAGTGCTTTATTTTAATTGTTTTTTGTTATTGAATGATTTATTTTTATTTTACATTTTTATCATTTAATTATTAGTAAGTTTTATTTTTATTGTTTTTAATTAGAATTTTTATGATTTAATTATT